TACCAGGTTTTGCAATAATTTGACACCGATTGGTGAGTCAAGAAATATAGCTCATGTTGTGATCTGATCTGACTGATATGGAATTTTTTTTGTTGTATATTTTATGAAAACCATTTACAATTTAGTCGGTAAAAAATTTTGTCTTGCGTTGTGTTTATACATGCCACAAGAGGGCGAGGAAGAATTTTCCCCCCTATGAGAAAATCTTATCGAGCCCTCCTCAGGTCACTATATCTGCTTGGCCACAAGGGAGAACCAAAGTCGTTTAAATAAGCGAAAGCTTGGAGCTGAGCACAAATTTGAAAATGGTATACCGGCTTCCCAGAAATTCTGTCAATGTGTGTTCATGTTTGTGAGGGAGTCTTTTAGACTGGTGGAAATAGCTGTGGCATTCCATACGCTTCTTGCAGCAGATTTGCCATGAGAGAATAAAAGGGAATGAAAACAGCATTTTGTCTGTCTTGTACTCGGGCGGCTTGGTCGCCGTCTGGTGAGTGCCTCGACTTCACAATGCGAAGGTTTAGGGTTCAATTCCGGCTCTGGTGGGGAGTTTGCATGTTCTCCCCATCCCTGTGTGGGTCCCCTCCAACATTCCAAAAACATGCGTGGCAGGCAAATTGTGCACTTACAAATCACCAACATGGAGGCCGGGTGTCTGGTAAACACAATTATCTTGTAAAGGCGACATAACTTTTGCATCAAGAAATATCTTAGTATTAAAAATAATAATCTCCGAAAAATGAAATTTCATATTTTTCCCTTTTCTCATTGTGTGATATATACACAGATAAATAAAAAATCTCATGAAATCTCTCTCTCTCTCTCTCTCTCTCTCTCTCTCTCCTCTCTCTCTCTCTCTCTCTCTCTCTCTCTATATATATATATATATATATATATATACTATACGGTGTATATATATATCTGTACCCAACATCACATCCAATACGTCATGAAGTAATATACGCATCCATTTAGGAATGTCACACACCGAAAAGGTACCTCCCCGAGATTTGCCCTTAATCGAGGAGTACGTCAAAACCGTCTCAACTCTTCACTTGTCGTGCTATTCCAGGGTTATCTATTGCAGACAGAGAAATCTAAATTCGTCAACTTGCAGATGACAATACCTTCTTCCTGAAGGAGAACAAGACCCGGGCAATAAACAGCTACGTCCTGCCAGTGATCAGATACCCTGCAGGAATAATAAGGTGGCCAAAGGAAGAGATTCAGACCACGGATGTTAAGACCTGAAAGCTCCTAACCATGCATGGAGGGTTCCATCCCAAATCCAGCACCCTGAGACTGTACGCAAGCCGAAAGGAAGGAGGCCGGGGACTAGTGAGTGTGAGAGCCACTGTCCAGGATGAAACATCCACGCTCCATGAATACATCAAGGAGAAGGCTCCAATGGATGACATACTCAGAGAATGTCTCAGACAATGGGAAACAGAGGATGGGGTGCTGAAAGAGGGACCATCCTGGGAGGACAAGCCTCATCCTGGCTACTCAGGAGCAGGCCCTGAGCACCAGAGCCATTGAGGCCCAGATATACCACACCAGACAAGACCCAAGGTGTAGGTTGTGCAAAGAGGCACCTGAAATGATCCAACACATAACTGCAAAGTGTAAGATGCTGGCAGGGAAAGCCTACATGGAATGCCATAACCAGGTGGCTGGCATAGTCTAGCAAATCATCTGTGCGGGGTATGGATTGGAAACCCCGAGGTCAAAATGGGAAACACCTCCGAAGGTGGTGGAGAATGATCGAGCGAAGATCCTGTCGGACTTCCAGATACAGACTGACAAGATGGTAATGGCGAACCAACCAGATATCATGATCATCGATAAAGGGCAGAGGAAAGCCGTTGTAGTGGATGTAGCGTTCCCAAGTGATGGAAACATCAGAAAGAAGGAACACGAGAAACTGGAGGAATACCAAGGGCTCAGAGAGGAGCTGGACAGAGCCGCCTGGAACATAAAGGTGACAGTCGTGCCTTTGGTGGTCGGAGCACTCGGGCAGTGACCCCCAAACTAGATGAGTGGTTGCAACAGATCCCGGGAACAACATCGGACATCTCAGTCCAGAAATGTGCAGTGCTGGGAACAGCAAGGATACTGCGCAGAATCCTCAAGCTTCCTGGCCTCTGGTCGAGGACCCGAACTGATTGTGGGGCGGACACCACCCGAGGGGTGAGACGAAGATTTTTTTTTCTTTTTAGCTCCAACATTGATTCACTCTTATCTGAAGGCATCATTGCAGCTACTCTGCATAGAAGGGAAGGCATAACTGTGAGTTATATTTTAGGGAAGAAGTGATTTGGAAAGCCATAGTTAAGCCTTCATCACATCATTACGCTTCACTCGGTGCTCCACTTTTCCACATCCAATATGTCGGCAACGTTGACATACGTGTAGCAACCGGAAAAGACGTTCAGGAAATTGGATAACAATGGGACCGCGCAGCCCGGTCACGTGATTTCAGAGAAAAGCAAAGGAGCGCTTCCTTGTTGCAATTACACACGCACACACACACACACACACACACACACACACACACACACACACACACACACACACACACACACACACACACACACACACACACACACACACACACACACTTGCTGTCGTTTTAGCAACATACTCAAAACGACGCAAGCGATTTCATTTCAAATCGGGTCGAAAATGTATTCTGGCAATGAAAAAAAAAGGCTGAGTGACGTCACAGGCAGCACGAATTCTAATTGCCTCAGGTGGTGAATTGGTCTAAGTGAGTCCCCGCCTCGTGTTCGCCCGGGTGACAGACAGCCGCAACTTCTCACGACTTGTCCCTTTGCGACACAACTTTGGATGCCGAGAATGTACCTCCTTGTCCTGTTTGTTGCGACTCTGCAAACACTCAACGTGACGCCGGGTCAGTGCACTTTGTTGACAACTTAGTTACTTGCGCGAAAGATCGTGAACCGACGCGTTCACGTTTATTCTTTTAGCGTGTCGTGTCCGCTGCATCAACATTTACCAGCATAAATATGTTATCGATTAAATCTGGAAAGGCGAACCCACGGTCATGAAATGTTATACTGCGTCAGTCGTTGAGCAGAAAAAGATTAGCTTCAACGTTGCATGTTAATCTGTGAATGTGGTTTTTTATTTCTTGGTCTGTTGAACATGG